GACATTATTATTACTTATTATCATGTAGCTCTTCACTGGATATGACCATGAAAAGGTCAAATTAGCACATCTATCAAGACTGAAAGAAAAATATTTGTTTCATATTTTCATTAATGTTTTAATTATCTCATTAGTGAGAATTCATTAAGTATACAATATATTTTTAAATTTCTTTTTATTGTTGATATTATTGTCTATGTCCCTATCCCTCTCCCTCACCTTTGCCTACCTCCACCCAGCCCCTGCCCCCCTTTCCTCTGGCCATCACCACACTGTTGTCGGTGTCTATGGGTTATGCACATATGTTCTTTGGCTAATCTCTCTTCACCGTCTTTCATCCAGTCCCTGCCTCATTTGATTTGACATACAGATTGGTTATAATGATTTTTATAAATTGGGCACCCACTTTTTGTCCTTTATTTTCTGTTTCCATTTAAAGCATACCAGCTGCATCCTCAGAAATGTATGTGGCTAGTTCACAGTTTCTAGCCTCATGGCCTAGGGCTGCACTAGCCTCATCACTGTATGCGTGAGAAGACATGATCGTGTGCACAGGTGTGTGCTGTCTAGGCTGGTCTGTGCATTTAACAGTTTTATAGCATGAAGCTCTATGGAAGCATTGGTGAAATTGGACGTATATACATCTTGAGAACTCTGAATTACTATGCTTAAGAGATGCATTGGTCCAGAAGGAAGACATAGAAAAACATGGCTCAGATCCCTTCCTTGCCCTTTCATAAATACATGACTTTAAAGAGGTCAGTTAACCCCTCAGAACATCGTTTCCTCCTGTAGAACATTAATTGCTTGACCCATGGTCTGTGCTCAATAATGCTCCTAAATTCTTATAACTCCTAGTTCTTACCTGTTACTTTACACTTCTGTCTTTGCTTATGCTATTCTCTTTCCCCCATGCTGGTGTTCCTTTATTCATCTGACTAATCCATCTTCAAACTTGAAGATCTGCCTCCCAGAGCCTCCCTGTCAACCCCAACCTGAGTCAGCTATTCCTCTTAACACTGTACATTCTTGTTGCCTTTGCATAGACTCATCCCTCTGCCTGGATATATCACCAACTCCCTTTTCACATGGCAAACAAGTTATTTTTCATCTTTCCACTCAAGGATCATTTCTTTGAAGCAATACCTGACTCCCTTACAGGCTCAAATGTTCCTTCTTCACTGTACCCCAGTTCTGTGTACCACTTGTCACACATTATATTGTCATTTAGTTTCATGGCTCTCTCCCTATTAAAGTGTAAATTCCTCGAGGATGGACATCAAGTCTTTATCTTGCCAGGATACCAGGCACATCGTAGCTGCTTACATCTGTTAAACTGAATGAATTCACAAAACAGGATAATAATAATGTATATCTTCTATGTCCCACAAGTTTGTTGTTAGGCAAAATAAATAAAGCACTGTTAAGACTTTAAAAAATTAAATACTAAAAACATACTTGCCTTGCCTTATCAATTAGTTTGCTATAAGTATGATTAGATCATGGATCTGGGAGTCAACTTCCATAAATCTTTTTGGGGCTGTGAATACCTTTGAAACTTGACAGAGCTTTGAAGGGTCTCCAGGTTGGGGGAGGGCTGAGAATTCACCTGGATAGATGTGTCATGCACTGCAAGGATTCACGTATGTGAAGTTCATCACATTCTGGTTCATGAAAACCAGATTGAGAATCTCTTCTATAATTTGCTTTATAGTAAAGTTTTTCTTCCAAAGGTCCAAGATCAGCTCTGGAGGTAGAAAGGAAGTTTAGTTAAGCCTGTAGGCTCAAAGGAAACGTAAATAGGTGAAGTGACTGAGTGGTCTTAAGGGACGTTTATTATGAGTGAACAAAAATCTCGATTTTAAGAAGTGGAGACACTAGAATTGTGGGGGATCCTGCCAAAAACTGGGTACAGTTTATTTGACCAAGTACTCAAGTGTCTGAGTTTTCAGCAGAAACAGTTGATACGGGAAGGGAAAAATCCAATAGTAAAATCTTGTTTTTCATCTTTGAACAGGAGGCATCTAAACTGGATACAGTGGGCTTCCCTTCTGATTCTGTTTTTCTCTATTGTGGCCCTCACTGCTGGGACCAAAACATCACAGCGTAACCTAGCAGGGCATGGATTCCACCACGACGCTTTCTTCAGCCCATCCAATTCTTGCCTTGTTTTCAGAAATGAGTGTCTCAGAAAGGGCAATTGCACAGCAAAGGAGTGGACTTTTTCTGACTCTAGGTGGAATGCCACGGTCAGGGTGTTCAGTCACATCCATCTTGGCTTGGGCCATGTTCTTATTATAGTCCAGTGTTTTACTTCTTCGATGGCCAATATCTATAATGAAAAGATATTGAAGGAGGGGAACCAGCTCTCTGAAAACATCTTCATACAGAACAGCAAGCTCTATTTCTTTGGCGTTCTTTTTAATGGGCTGACCCTGGGCCTTCAGAGTGGTAACCGTGTTCAGATTAAGAACTGTGGGTTTTTTTATGGCCATAATGCATTTTCAATAGCCCTTATTTTTGTAAATGCATTCCAGGGCCTCTCGGTGGCTTTCATTCTGAAGTATTTGGATAACATGTTCCATGTCTTGATGGCCCAGGTTACCACTGTCATCATCACAACAGTGTCTGTCCTGGTCTTTGACTTCAGGCCCTCCCTGGAGTTTTTCTTAGAAGCCCCATCTGTTCTTCTTGCCATATTTATTTATAATGCCAGCAAGTCCCGAGATCTGGAATATGGACCTAGGCAAGAAAAGATCCGAGATCTAAGTGGCCGTCTTTGGGAGCGCTCCAGTGGGGTAAGTTTGTGAAGATACTGCTTCTTGCCTGTTCTTCCCCCAGTCAAAGCATACTTACACAAGAATAGAAATAGATTAGTGCTGATTTATCAAAGGATGTATCAGATCTCTCTGACTTTTAAAAATTTATTCAACAAACTTATTGGTTTTCTTATGTGCAAGGGCTCGTGATAATGCTATCAGGGTTCCGGGGAAAATATAAATCACAGTCTTAAGGACCTTATGTGCTAGTTATATCAGAGTATTATAGAGTCACAGAACTGGAAGATGCCTCACAGATTATCTTGTCCAGTCTCCCTAGTTTTACAAGTAAAGAAACAGAGAGGCTAAGAACTGGTACTATACCCATGAGGTCTGACTCCTACCTCATTACTCTTTCTATTCCACCACTGTTGGGGAAATAAGCCTCATTCATAAGAAAATTTGATCTTCAACATTAGTAAGTCTTACTAAACATACATGGAAAAATACTGGCTCCTTAATTTTCCCTGTAGTCACAGTACACCAGATGGACAGGCATTGTTCATCTCACCAAAGCGGTGGTTGTCAAAAGCATCTTAGAAGAGAAAAATATTTTCTAGAAAAATACTGTTGCAGTTATTTTGAATAAGGATCATTCTGCCAGTTGCTTATTGTTTTAGGAGAGTCTGTCAGTCATGTTATTAGCAAATTAATAATCTTTTGGAAACGCGAGAAGTTAAATATTTGTTATAAATAAAAGATGAAATAGACTTCCCTAACTTTAAATTTACAATTTTCATGAACACTAAATATGAAATATTTTACACAATGAAAATTTTATTCTGTGAAAAAATTGATCTCTTTCTTATTAGAGTTCATGCTGGAGCTTTCCTCAGTATTGTCTCTGAAATGGTGATACAAGAGATTATTCAGATGAAAAAATTAGAATCTTGAGTCCCAAATGCCATGATCTCAGCCAGAGTATAGATTCAAAAGTCCTGTGTTCTTTCCAGTGGTCTGATAATACTGCTTGCTCTACTTTTTAGGTAAAAGAATATCAATTTAGGTAATAAGGCCTAGTTCCTTTCTCTAATCTTTAGTCATTTCCCTTCAAGACCAGCAGAGGGTACTCCTTACTTTGTTCATGTTAACTTTGAAATTCAAGTACTGAGTTTTAGTTCAGTTTTTCATGATCTCATTATACATCTAAAATTAACTTTCCAGAAACTTCAGTATTTATTTAATTTCAATTGACCAGATTACGTCTATAGTTTAATGAAATAAAATCCATGATTTGTTAGTGAGCTTTCTATTTCATAATCATTAAAACATTACATTTCTATTTTGTTTTAATTAATTACTGATTTCATTTTTGCTTTAGGATGGAGAGGAACTGGAAAGACTTACCAAGCCCAAGAATGCCATCGAGTCAGATGAAGATACTTTCTAATAGGTACCCAAATAGTTGGCAGGTCTCACAACCTTGTTTTCTTTCACATTTTCAGCATGTGTAATTTTCATCTTTTCACTTCGATAAACCAAGAACATTTCCAGAGCAAAATGCTCTGTGCATATATCCAACTACTCCCTAAACAGTTCTACCCAAGGCTCAGAGTACTCAAAGGCTAAAAAGGTCTAAGGAACTTGATAAATCAACAAGCTATATTCATAAATTATTTTCCTTGTTGTCCAAGGTTCCAAAAACCTTGTAATAATCACGGTAGCTGTATCCCGTAAATATACAAATAGAGATCAGTTGACTAAATATTTATAATTATGTAGTTCTACTCTGTTTGCCAAAGTCTTCACTTTTTTTTATCATTATAAACATTACCCAGGTTGCCCCTTGAATTTTAAGGCCCTGGAGATACACATTTTGCCATTTAAAAGCAACATAACTTTTTCTAAAAAATTTTATTGAAAGACTGTTCCATCTGGCTACAGCATCGATTTGAGGTTAATATATCCTATGCTAAATATTTTACTGAAGAAGCAATTTTTCAGAGACAAAATCTCAGAATTTTAATTTTTAGGAATTCATAGAGAATTTGGTTTTTAGTGATTATCTTTCAATGTGCTACACAAATAAGCTTCAGTTTAGGTGAAAATTGGTTCCCAGTTCCCAGTTATCACTTGTATTTTACAGCACGTAAGCTATGGTGGGTTTTTTCCTTCTCAGACTGACCTTATTATTTTTGTATTATTATATTTTAGAGAACTAAGAATAAGCTATTTCATTTTATTAGCTATTAATCAGAACTTAAGGTAATTGTATATCATATCCAGTTCCTAAGAGTTGAGACACTGGCCTCAGAATCATACCAGATTGTCACTAAGACTAATGCCTAAAAATTCTTTTTGAAAGGGTCACTTTGCAAACAAATGACTTTTACTGAAATATGAATAGTATTACTTTAAAAAGAGGAAGGCCGATACTAAATAAACCACTTTATAGTAATAATATTTCACATTTCAATTGCATGGTATTTTTCAACATTTTTGCATGCAGCCAATTGACTCTGAGGCAGAGAAGTCAGGTGATAATTAAAAAATGAGAAAACAAGTGACTTGCCCACAGTCATGCAGCTGGATAGTGATGGGGCAAGAGTTAACTTTAGCTAATAGGCCAGTGTGTTTACAGAGCAGGACACTGTGAATGTGAGCCTTAAGGTGTCATTTTCATGCGGTCGATTCTTCTTTCCCCTAACTTTTATACAGATGAACATAAGATAATACTATTATATAACCCATCTGTGATGTGCAGACTAATATGACTGGTGAGAGTTGGTGGAAATTTATAAATAAAATAATTATTACACCCATGTCTTGTGTCACTACTCTGTCATATGAGGTGGGATGTGGAGCACTTATAATTTTAAAAAATGGAGTGAGGCAGAGACCCAAACAACTCTTTCAGTAGATCTTGACTTCAGAGAATAGCAAACTGTTCACCTAATAGGCATTCCCATTAGAGTTGTGAAACAGGAAGATTACATTACTATAACAGTTTTAAAGGTAAGGAAAATCAAGTATAGGAAGACCTCACTCTAAGGAAATAATGCATGCAGAACATATTTACCTTACAGAACAGGTAAAATTACAATATTATTTGCAAAGGTATTGCCTACAGAATATATTACATAAAAGAGTCCACTACTTCATGGAGTTTGGTTTTCTTATTTACAATTACTTCCCCCCCTTTTTGGAAAGCATTTATTGCTCAAAGTAAGGCTTACTTGCATTGACTTACCATTACTAAGAGACAGAGGGTGAGCTGTAGCTCAAATGTGAAGTTCTGATGTGGGTGCACTGGAGTCCTTTCTGGGCACCACTGTTTTAAAAGGAGAATAACTGAGGTGAGAGGTCTAGAAACCATATCCTGTCATCTCAGGTGCTCTGGGAGTCCTGGTGTAACCTAGAGAGAACAGTTGTCACATGGAAAAAGTAGGTTTCCTTTTTATTCTAAAGAACCAGACCACAGTGAAAGTTACAGGGTGGTGGTCATTCTTTTCTTATAGGGAAGACTATTCCTAACAAGTGATACTTTCCAACAGTAGAAAACGTTTTCCTGAAGAGTAGTAGAGAGAAGGAAATAAATTCTCTATGACTGAATTTTTTAGGGAAAGACTGTATCAGAATATTTTAGAAGAGATCCTTCCTTGGTATAGATGTTGGAATAAGTGGTTTCTAAAGTCCTTTCCTATTTTTAAAGCCTCTTCTAAGTTTAAGACCTACAACTAATGTACTAAGTCTGCCCCTTCATGGTTTCTGAATAGCCTTTGGTTGAACCACAAATATGGCCTGCAGTGACCTGTCATTGGTCCTAGAACCAAACTTCTATCTAGCAATGAGCATAATCCTGAGGGGAAGCACAGAGTGTGGCTGGAAAGGTGGCTTAGACCCAGGGTCCCAAATCCTTGGTCAGCTGCCGTAGGTTTTCAAGATCCATGTGCAGAGGAGATACGGAGGGCAGAATTACTTTATAACTCTGAGGCTTTTTGCCTCTGAATCCCCATGTGGAAGTCCTGTTGCTTGTGCACTGGATTGGACTGTGGAGCTGCAGGGACTCCTCTGGCTCTTGCACAGGCCCAACAAGCTTGACAAAACAGTCCCCATCCTTGGCAACTCTCCCATTTCCTTACGTCCAGATTTTTCCCCATAAACTTACCATTCTAGTGTAAAGGAGAAGAGGCAGAGAAAGGACAGAGTTGTTTTCCTTCTCTAAAGCCTAAGTAGTCTTTCTAAAATTGAGTAATACATATCCCCCCTTGAAAGGAAAAAAAATATTCTCACAGATCTCAGTATTGGCCTTTTTTCTACTTCGCAGTTATTTAAATGCATACAAACATAATGTGAAATATAAACTTCTTGCTTATCGCTTTTATATGGAAACCAACACAACTTTACAAATAAAATACAAGCAAAGCCCTAAAACTAATAAATTTTTTATCCAAATATGAATACGGTGAAGCGATATTTTCCTCAAGTAGAATCACAGTAAATCCTCCAACGGACCTGCAGGGCTTCCGTCCTGTCTTGCTGTTTCACTTGCTTCCAGCACTAGCCTCTCTCTGCCAGGGTAAAGGAAACCTGCTGACATGGCTGGTCATGCATTTAATCCTGCTGGGATTTATCAACCCGTGCCCCTAACAATCCCGTACGGATGTGGTGTAGGTCAAGCTGCCAACTCTCATTGGCCTCCGTTCCCTGAGAGATTTTTAAAAACGTCAGCTTTATGTGTTCCCTGAAGTTTTGAAAGAACTCACCAATAAAATTGCCTCAGCTTGGCACTTTTTAAAGAAGTGCTTCCCCCTCCCCCACCAACATTCTCTCTTTCCCCTTTATTCTCTTCTGGGCTTACTCTGGGTTATTTGTGTTTTGCTAAAAAGTTAACCATCCAGATTTTCTAATTTATTTGCATAGGAATTTATAAATCATTCTCATAATTCTTTTTATTTCCTCTTTTACTGTAGTTCTGTTTTTCTTATTTTGAATTATGTGTATGGATGGTTTCTCTGGTTTTTAAAAATAGGTTGAGCAGTTTCTAATTATTTAAAGTTTATTTTGTTCTTTTTCCATCTTATCTACTTGAAATAAATTTATTTTCTTTCTTGTTAATGAACATGCTTATAACTGGTAGAAAATTTCCTTGGAATAAGTACACCTTACGCCAGTCCTCAAAGACTTTAAAATATAGCATTGTTATTACTGTTATTTTCTAACTATTCTGTTTTGAATAAAGGGTAGTGTGACTGAGGTTTTTAGTCATACTTTTAAATTTTTCTGGTTTTCATACACTTGGTTAGAAAATGAGATCTGTACTCTTTCTATTGTTATTTACATATTTTTGTGTCTGTAAGTTTCTTGTAATATTTGAGATTTATTCCACTCACATTTCTAGTTTCTTTCATTACTAGTAGGTACTTTTGTATTTTTAAAAGTAAACTTAGGACCTTATTTATAAATGTATCAACCTCAAAAATTAAAATACCAGTCATTGACTTCTTTTTCTGAGAGATGAGGAACTTAGGATATTATGTGTCCTCCCAACTCCCAGTTTTTCTTAATAAGCTCTGAGAACTTTATCCAGGTCTGCTCTCACACTCATATGTTTTTATGTTATCATCTGTGAAATTGGGATGTTTTAAGCCAATGGCATGTTAAAATTGCTGCCTCACAGCAGTAACGATGAAGGTAGTTGTCTTTGATTGTACGTGCAGGCATTTGCTTTGACTAGATAACTACAACTTCTTGCTATTTCATTCAACAAACCACTTAAGGACCATTTGAGAGGATAAGAGTCTTCTTGGTTGTTGTCTGAAAATCTTTCATTGATACCTCCTGGGTAGATTGAGAACATGGCAAGCATCACTTTTTACAAAATGAGTGTCAATAGCTTGGGGAAAAAATGCCTGGAGACTACAGAGAAACTTTCTTAAGAAATGCTGCATCGTCCTGGCTGGTGTGGCTCTGTTGGTTGGGCTGTCGTCTTGTGCACCAAGAGGTTGCTGGTTTGATTCCTGGTCAGGGCACATGCCCGGGTTGTGGACTCAATCCCCGGTAGGGGGCGTGCAGGAGGCAGCCAATTGATGTTTTGCTCTCACATGGATATTTCTCTCTCCCACTCTCTGTGGAAAACGAGACATCTAAGACTCTGCATCAAAAAGTAATTCAAAAGATTTTGGCTTGAAATGGGAGGATGTTTTGAAATAGCTCAATTCATTTATTTAACTTATAGTTCTCTCTTTTGGGTAATCAGAGAATATAAAAGTAAAGATTCTAAGTGATAAAAGGTTATGTTTAATTGACTGTGCTTTTTTGGTGGGACATAAAATAGTGGTGACTCTTAGATTTGATGCTGAGATAGTTATGGTGAAATTTGGAAGTTGATTTTGTAAAATTTGTATATTATACACTTTTTCTTTCAAGAATTAATAGTTTGCCTTTTAGTTTGTGATCCCAATGATCATAGCTAATTAAACTTAATTTGTTCATGACATAACTTCCTCATTCATAACTTTTTAATGCTAATTTATCTCAGCTGGGAGCTGTCTTAAAACAGATTTTTTTCTCATAAAAGGGTTTTTGGCTGATGTACCTTCTGAGGTTTTGCGTATTTTTTAGTATCTAATAACTATTTATTAACTGTCAGTTTTTTCTAGTCATATTGCTCAAAGAGATTTTGCACTTTTTATTGCTTTCTGTAGCCGCTTAAATATAAGTGACAGCTTGTCTGGAAAATTATTTTCAAGTCACCCTTTTTTCTGAAGCAGAAATATGTTTTTTATCATTTAGTTTACCAAGAAATGAAATGTTTTTCTGCTATATTACGTGTGTGTGTGTGTATGTATATTTGTATATATCTACATATAGATACAGATTTTTCCCCCTTTGTGGGTGAGCTGTGTTTTAAGCCTAGGTGCATGAATACCTTTTGTATAGGTCCTTTCTTTTAAGATTTCTGTGTCCCCATCTTTACACAAAATTTAACATTCCAATTAGGCCCAGTGTTTGCCACAAAATGATGCCGGGAGAGTCTCCCTTATCTAATTGCTCTTTGCCTGGACCCTCAGTGCCATCTTTGAAGTTCTGCTAAACAGCTGGAAGCTGCTTCAAGGAGGTAGAAGGGAAGCAGGGACCATAGAAAACTGTACTGAAGAAACTTTCTAGATGTGTGCTTTTCCTCTACAGTGGTTGAAACTCCTGCTTTGAGGGCCAGTTCCATAAAGACAGGGCTAACACTGTCTCCTCTTTGTGAAGCGGGGCCATCACTTGAGATTTAGTTTGTTCCTTGTTTTAGATTGAGCCCCTGCCTGGATTAGAAGTCAGGTTAAGTGAAGTGTCTTGAAAGCAGCACATGAGCTTTCTCTACAGCTGTGACATTTGCTACTAGGATTTTTATATTGTATACTATGTACTTACATAATATTTTATATATTCTTATGTTATATGCATTTAATCCACTGTATACAATATTTTAATAGTTCTTATTTTGTAAATTATTATATGTACAATTTACACACATCACCCTGCAAAGATTTTCCAAGTTCATCTGTTTAAAAGGCTCACCAGCCCGGCCGGGCATGGCTCAGTGGTTGAGCGTCGACCTAGGATCCAGGCGATTGGGGTTCGATTCCCGTTCAGGGCACATGCCCGGGTTGCGGGCTTGATCCCCAGGTGGGGGCGTGCAGGAGGCAGCCGATCAATGACTCTCTCATCATTGATGTTTCTCTCTCTCTCTCCCTCTCCTTTTCTCTCTCTGAAATCAATAAAGATATATTTAAATAAATAAATAAATAAATAAATAAATAAATAAATAAAT